TTGCCCTCCAAGCTCCTGCGAAGAAGAAAAAAAGATAGTTAGAGGAGTTTTATACAACAGAGTCTGGAATCACCTCGTACAGGGTGGTGATGGAATCAATAACATTGTTTGAGTGTAGAGTTGATAAATAATTGTTATCCAGCATCCTGGTCATCCAAAAAACAAAACAACATTAAGTTGAAAGAAATCGGCAGGATTGCAGCAAAAATCCACGTACAATCGCTGGAGTGAGGCCATATTGCCTAATTCCGTTGGGAACGCTTGTAGTAGTGTATTGCTGAGGTCGAGCGTCTGTACCGATGAGGGTAGATAATCTGGTAGCAAGTTAATTTGTGTTCCCAGGTCAAGATTTTGAAGCGCCACCTTCGTCACCTCCGTCTGTAGATAAATAAAGTTTGAGGTCAACGATATTCTGGAGACCTTGCCTTTAGGGTACTTTGACGCAGCAGTTCCGCCTGATACAGTACTAAACGATTATGTCAGTGAATAGTAAAAAAAAAAATGTAGGAGAACAACTTACAGTGTTGTAACTTGTGAAGACAGGTCGATTGATCCGAGAGTATCCACTTGGTCGTTCGACACTGAAGGCCACTCATTCGTGTCATCCGGGTAACCGCTTAAGTCCGCGTCACTGTAGTTCCCTGCTGCCACTTCTTGTGCACTCCGATAGTCTCCAAACTCCACCAGCACAACTATAGTGGTCGAATTATCGTCAGCGCTCAGACAGTCGAAGGTGCAATTTCCATCCGTCTTGCAATTGGGACCGATGCAGTCGCTAGCCAAGCTAAAGCCTCGACACATTACGTGCTCTTCGCAAGCTGAACAACCCGCGGTAGTGAGCGTTGAAGATCCAGCAGCACACTCAGCATTGACAAGCTTGAGAATTAGAGTCCAAGCAAGTCCCAGTGACCCCAGATGTCGAGTCCAAGCGGGGCCTGTTGAAGCACTTAGCATTGCTAATGCAAAATGACTGTCACTACTGTACTAATAAGCCCGGCCGCGCCAATCTAAGGACAATGCAGAGGAGTGGCATCAAGTGAAAGTGCTCAGATACATGTGGTGCGGCAATGCTTTGAACGTAGTACATGAGCTCAACCTGCACGCGCTTTCTTCCAGTTCTAGTGAAGGTAGGAAAGGAACGGTAGGGTTTTGCACATGTACAGAGAGAAAGGTGAAGCAAGCTCATGCGTACATGGATGATGATGGTACAGCACGAGCAAATCTATTGGATGTACTGTACATGCACAGCGGCCCACTTCATGTGGAGGTGGCCAACGTCATTTCAGAGGGAATTCGTAGGCCTTTCCGATGGGAATCGCAACGTTGCGCCCACTCGTATACTTCAAGTAGATTACTGCAGTGCTTCGTTGTCTGGGACTTCGAGAGATATTCGTAAGCGATGAATACGTTGGATCTGAGCACACTCATTTTCGTCCCGGTGAGTACATTCGGTTAGATTGACTGAAAGTAAAAAGTCGCATGTACATGTACGTGCATGTGACTGTGTTTTTCAACAGAATCACTGCTTAAATCAGCGAAAACGAAACAAAGTGTCACTTCGGTTCGATTTTTATACTTTTTAAAAATGTCAGCGTACATGCATTTAAGTATGCTAAAACTGATGCTGTATTGCACGATTTTATTCTACCCCTTCCCCCCAGAAATCGAAACAATAGAAACTGCCTTCATTAATAATTGAAGTTTTGTTTACGGTAGGTTCATGCGAGTCGGCAGTGGAGGGATTGTGGAGGAATTTCCACTAGATCGTCTGCGACTTACACTGGGAATACATTTTTTTAGTTGCTCGTTTGCGCGAATTTAAGGAAGGATGCGTGGCAACAGTGCGTTGGGCGGAGCCCATGCGAGCTCTACCGCAAATATCGTGCGTAAGTATTTTCGGAAGTGCATTGGTCCTGGAAGTGCGTTTTGAGAGAAAATATGTGCTGGCGGAAGCAGAAGAAAGTAAGGGGTGTTAACCCTTTCGTGGTCAATGGGGGCATTTTGCCCCTTTGGAGGGCGTATCGTTGAGTATCACTCGTGTCACCCATGAATGGGGGCAAAATGCCCCCTTTCATTATTTTTTGTGTGTTGGACGAGGCGGATTCGCCCTTTCTACTTGAACTACAAGGATTTGCAGAAGATTTGCTGTAGTACCGTAGTTTATGAAAGGGGGCAAAATGCCCCCTTTGAAGGCCTAATGACTTGACCTTCTAAACAATAATATACACC